TGCTACTGCTGCGTGATTCTGGTCTCATCGCACGATTTTTATCGATTGATTCCAGGAAAACTAGGCTGCGAGGTACATGGCATTGATATTGGAATTCCACAACCGGAGACAGTTATCGCACTAATAAAAAAGGACGTTACCGAGCATCGTATTTTGATTTTCAAAAACCAACACAATATTTCTCCGGATAAACACGTGGAAATCAGTCGGTGGTTTGGGGAACTAGAGTCATCTACCATTAGTAGACACGCGAAGTCGCCTTCCGACGATATACTGCGAGTATCAAACGATGCGAAAGAAGGACTATATAATGTTGGCCGCAAGGGGTGGCATATTGATGGTTCCTTCTTTCCCAAACCGTATAGCCACGCCTTATATCAAATGGTTCATGTGCCAATGGACGGTGATACAGGTAAGTAAAGTGGTTTTACATCCGTGTCAATCCGTAATACCAGCATACTAAAGTGGGACTAAAATAAAAAATATAAAAATAGACAAAAATACGAAATAGTACAGTATTCGCGAAAATAAATGAATGCAAAAATGTTTTTGCGGTCATCCCATTCTTACGCAGTCAAATTGAATTAACAACTCTGCCAATATTTTGTTACTAGAAAAATACACGAAAAAAAGACTACAGTAAGTCTACACAAAAGCAGTGATATTCCCAAGTAACTTGACATAAAACTCGACCCGTCTTTCTCGTTCAAATAAGATCAATCGAAAAGTCTAAAAATATGCTTTTTAAATCGTGCAAATCTCACTCCGAACACGGTCGTATGATTCCCAATACCCCCCCCCCCAACCACTGGCATCGCAAAGAAACGTAGCAGTCCACGTTCGAGAAAAAATATTCACAAAAACAATCCACCATACGTCAAATAAGCGGATGAATAATCTGTATGAACTAATGTATAAAACCATATGTTCTTCTGACAGTTACAATATTAAAGAAATATTATAATATCACCTGCTGTGATTTACAGTGCATCACATTACCGGGTAGTATTTGCTGAAACTATTATTCACCTATTGATTTACCTTGTATACATATACTTACAATCTAAAGAACAGAGGCCGTCCTGATCTCCTATCTAAAACCAATACAATTGTGGCTGTTCATACCTCCCTATCTAAACCCCCTGGGATTGTGATCGTTTGGCGCCCTTAATTCATTTAAACTCGAAAGCAAACTTCTCGTATTTTGGTCTACCGAGAATTTGATGTCATGAATATATATTAATAAGTTGAATATGGAGTATGATGACAATCATCTCAAAACTGGTGATCCAGCTCTGTCAAAACTTTGTGAGTGCAACAATCGGGCACCTCAACGACAACGACAAAGGTGAAAACTAAAAATTCTAAAAAGTACACTTTTTAAATCATGTTTATCACACTGCGTACACGGTAGTATAATAATTTCCGCGTATTCAACACATAGCCCCCCCCCAACCCCCGCCCACCACAAAGTTAGTTAGCAGCCTTGGTTCGCGGAAAGAGAATATTCACGCATTTCTATCATTTCAATATTGTTGCCTTGAAAACCATCCATCATACATCGAATGGTCGGGTAATTAATTTGTATTAATTCTGAAACCATATGCTCTCCTGATTGTTACAATAGCACAATAGTATAGCAACGAATGCTTGCCTGGATAAGAGACTCTTAACTTATCAGAGAATAAGTTTTGATAAAATACACTGCACGAACGCTTGGGTACGATGGTAGTAACATTTCATCACCCATTCAGAATTATGTAACGTCAGAATCTATGGGATGTCTTCTGCGGTCTCGTAGAAAAGAAATACTCGTTATTA